ATGTAATTGGTTATATGTTGGCTTAAATCTAACATCTTACTATATGCTTTCCATTTGTCCCGCCTGCAATATTTCCTTTCCTATTTTTTCTTCTTCTTTCAGGTTATTACACAGTTTTTCCCTTTTATTAGTTTGGAAGTTACACCTTAACTCTGTTTTAATTTTATTCTTAAGTTTTCCCTACAGTTTTTAAATGCATCCTTGACTTTTCAAATCCAAATGTTAATCAGCACTTCTATTCTCTTCCTTAGAACACTTGAACTTCATTCCCCTCTTTAATTTGCCTTTTACTTACATGTTATTGTTGTGGTGGGCTTTAATTTCATATACATTTTAAACCCCATAGGACATTATTACTGTTTTTTTACAGTCAGAATTATTTAGACTTTCCTTCATTTACCATCTCAATTCCTTCCTGCAATAACCACTAACATTTGGGTTCCTTCCTCTCTGCCTGGAGCATCCTGGACCAGGGATAGAGTCCACAACCCAGGCATTTGCTTAGGAATGGAACCGGCAGCCCTTCGGTGCACTGGGTGATGACCAACCCGCTGAGCCACACGGCCAGGGCATCCAGTGGGATGCTCTGAGTTGTTTGCTGCCGCTGCTCAGGGTTCTGATTACACGTGAGGGAACCCACTGTAGTTAGTTAATGCAGAAGGGCTCTTACAGAGAGTGGGGAGCCACACTGTCTTCAGGAGAGCTGGGCCCAGTGGGCCGCTCACCCAGGCACAGCAGCAGACAGAGGTCTCCCCGGGGAAGGGGACACCTGCTGTTTGGCAGCCATGACACTGGGACAAGCTGGAACCTATGCCTGAGCTGCCCCTCAAGAACCACATGTCACCCCAACATGTCCTCAGCTAAAGCTATTTCCCATCGTGGATAGTAAACCCCGTTGGTAGAAGCTGGCTGAGCGGAAGCAGCTGGGGGAGGGGGGCGGAGAGGGGGCTGGGCTCCTGGGAGCTGGGCTGGGGGGGAGGCGGCTGGGCTCGGGGGAGGGCTGGCTGCAGTGGCGGGGCCTGTGGGAGGCCTGGGAGAGGAGCGGCCCTGCCTCAGCCAACATCTCTCCTGGGCAACCTGACGCTCCAGAGTGGCCGTCCCCCCGGGTGCCTCCCTCTCGGGGCCTCTTTTCATCCTTTTGGAGGTCTCACAGTATAAGGGACCCCAGACTCAGCTGAACAAGCAGGGCTCTGATCAACCATCTGAACAACATCCGCACCGTTTCTCCTTTCGGAAGATAGGGGGCAGCACCGCGTGGGGAGGCGTGGACTGAGCGGGAGCAGCCAGGGGACCGAGGGGCTGAGAGGCAGGAGGGTGTCCATCCCCCCCGACGGTGCGCTATGCCCGAGGCCTCCCTGTGACCCAGGCCTGCAGGACACTAGTCTGCAGGTGTACTCTCCAGAGTCGACACATTTCCCACAAAAGTTTAAAAGTCGGGTGTGTGTGTGTGTGTGGGGGGGGGGGGGCGGGGGGCCGGCGGCTGTGGCTATGCTAACCAAAGAATTGATGGAGACTCATCTAAATCACCTTATAACTTAGTGTCCGCACACGTTTTTGTTGCTAAATTATGAAATTTGATGATGCAAAAAGCAAGTCCTCCCTTACACAGTAAGTCAGCCCTTAACCTTGTCAATAGGTTCTGCAACTTTGAAACAACGTAAAACAAAACCGATGTAACCGCCGGCTACTTGATATAAAAAGATTAAGTTCCTAGCGTCTCAGCAACCATACAAGTCCATGCTGACGGGGACGGTGCTGTCCGAAGACCTGCTGTGTAACGTGTGTGTCAGATGAGCCACAAAAATACACAAACACCCCTGAGCCCACCACCCAAACTGCGACATCATCACGTGAGGTGAGCGTGGGAATTCCCTGTGCAGACAAACCGTGTCAGCCATGTGAGCCAAACGCAACCTCTATTTCATCAACGGAAGTGCAACAGTTCAGGTTATTTCTGTGAACGCCTCTGCCAGTCATAAAAGGAACTCAGCCACCTTCCTAAAATGGTACAAATTCATCGCTCCTCCCCCGTCCCCTGTGCCCGGAAACTCCTGCGCGTCACCCACTCACATGTCACACTCCACGCCGTTCACCTGGTGCGTCATGCCGCTGAGGGTCCTGTCGATTATGGGTTTGAAAGCTGGGTTTTGAGGGGCTGACACATTCATTCTTTCATTTGTTTGTCCAAACACTGAGCATCATTTATGTCATCAACTGGGGCAGGTGCCTCGATAATAGCAATTTCAGTGATAAGGACTGTAACAGCGGACATCCGTGGGGCCCCGAGACCTGTCAGGAGCTTTGCCCACAGCACCTAACCCTCACTCTCGACCAGCAGTGCCCACTTCCCCACCCGGGGGCGCCACAGAGGACGACACTGAGGTCACCTTCAGCTGGAGTCGTGGACCCTGAAAGGCTCGGAGTTGGATCAAGACCCTGACTTCCCAAACCCCAGCGGGCCCACACCGGGCGCCCCAGAGTGTACCTGGAGCTGTCGGGGCAGCGGGCCTTCCTGCCCCCCACTCCCCTCCCCTGGGGGCGCCGAGGGAGGCAGGGTCCTCTCCGAGCTGCCAGGAATTGACCCGGACGCTGTGCCGAGCGGCCCAGAGCCCAGGGGAGTCAAGCTCGCGGGCTCCAGCCCTGGCAGCAGGCCCAGGGCTGAGGGCACTGGTGTGGGAGCATTTTAATGTGTTTTAAATACATAATCTAAGATTAGATGCTCATTCACATGACCTTTGTCCGTTCTTGCCTCGAGCCCTGCAGTGGGAGTTAATAAGTATTGGAGGAAACAGGGCAGCCAAGCGGAGCTTTGTACCAGGGGAGGTGGGGTCCTGTTTGCCCTCCGCTAACGGCACCCCATTTCCCTCCCACAGTCCTAGTCTAGATGCTTAGTCACCACCGACTCCCCTAACGCCACTGATGGTCTGGCGACATCCCCTGAAGCCCAGAGCTGTTTTCTGCAGCAGCTTGTCTCAAGGATGGTCCAAGGCCTGGGACCACACCCTGCCGTGTTTTAAGGAAAATGCCCTGCAGTGGTTCTCAAATGCTGGTGCCAGGCCAGCAGCACCTACATCCCCCAAGACTTGTTGGAAATGCACATTTCCAGGCCCTGAGCCCTCCAGCATCAGCAGCACTGGGGGGGATGGGCGGGGGGGCGGGGGGGGGGGGAGGCAGCTGCTGCCTCACAAGCCCTCCAGAAGATTCTGGCGTGGCCACTGTAATTTCAGGGAAGATGTTCGAAGGGTGGGAGCTGGGAGGCAGGGAAGACAGCTGCTAGAGAGAGACAGGACTTGAGCTCCCGCCCAGCCCCATGGGACGAGCTGGGTATCCCCCTGGGCCTGGGCCTCGCCTGGAGACAGCATGGCAGCACATCCTTCCTCGCAGCTCAGCTGATGTGCACCCAGGCAAGCGCTCTCACGTCTTGAGTGCCTCCTCAAGGCCGCCTGTCAACCGCCCGCCCGTCAATGATCTGGGGCGTCCAGAGCAGCTGCGGGGGTCTGTGGCCTCTCCCGCTGAGTGGAAACTCGGAGTAATTTAAAATATGCCGGCGCCCCAGCTTCCTGGCAGCAAGGGACCGAAATGACATCGATGACAGTGCCCAACAGGCTTGCACCAAGAAGACATGTGGTGATTACAGAAGAAACACAGTAACAGACGACAGACATGGGAACCGTTACCGACTTTGCTTACCTGCTTCAGTCATCAGTTCCACTGGAGGCTGCAGCCAAGGCATCAAGAGAAGGCGGGGCCTCGGGAGGGCAGCCCCTGGAGGGTGAGGAGACCCCCAGGGCAAAGGTGTCCCTGGGGACCAAGGCCCTGACCACCACACCTTGTATCCCACCACCGTGTCAGACGTAACCGTGGGGCGGGGAGGTGACAGAAGCACGAGGCTTTGTTTGACAGGTGGTGTTGGAGGCAGGCCCCCTGCAGACCCTGGACCAGGAAGATGAAACATCGCTGGAGTTGAGTGACATGACTGGAGTGTCCTGCTTGGGGCGCAGGAGAAGGGAGAAGGCAGGCTCTGAGCTGCGAAGAGCCACCCGAGAAGGGGAAGCCATTGGGAGGCGGCCTCCAGGAAGCCCCAGGCCGAGCGGCTGCTGGGCTGCTCTCCCGCGCCGCTCAGTGGTCGCCAGGGCTCAGAGCCCACAGCACACAACTAAGTGCAAAACTGTGTGAGCGATGTTCGTTTTCCTGGAGCGACCACGGAGAGCCCCCGCAGACCACCGCCGGACGTGGGCCTGTCCCCCCACCCCTACCCTGGCCCATGGCCCTGAGATGGCACGGACTCCCTGGCAGCCCACTCCACGCAGGGGCAGGCGGGCCTCTGCAGCCGCCTCCCTCACACCACCCTACTGACCCCACTGCACTTTACTGCGGTAGTTCTTAGCCCGTCTGTGAATGGAAAGGCTGAGGCAGGAAGTGACATGGCTGCCCAAGGGAGAAAGGGGAGCTAGGATTTGAACCCAGGAATCTCTGATCACTGCAGTCACATGTCAAACGGGCAGGATGCGGCAGGTCACAGGGGAAAGGAGGCTGAGAGCCATGGGTAGTGACACTTGAAATGAACCACGAAACACGATATTAAGCAATATTTAAATAAGAGTAAGCCTCCAGAGAAATGCCCTGGTGCCTGGTGGCCGGCGTCCTCCGAGGCCCATGCCCTGCAGGCTGCAGCCCGGCGAGCCCCCACCAGGCCCCAGCGGCACAGGCAGGTCTGAGGCTCTGCACCCACCCGCTCCCCACTCGGCCGAGGGAAGGGCCGGCAGGGAGGCCCTGCTCCTGCAGCTCCCAGGTGTGTTCCTGCGCGACCTGCCCACCACATGACACGCAGCGGCGCCCGGCAGGTGGGACCGGTTCCCATCGTGAGAAAGAGCCTCCAGGACGGAGTCCTGCCTTCTTCCTGGCCGTGGCCACGCTCCGCTGCCAGGGCGGCCAAGCCACCCCAGAGCAGGGCGAGGAGAAAGATGCCCCAAGCAGGACACGGAATTAAGCGTCATTTATTCTAGGGCAAACTCAAAAGGGTTCTTTTATTTTTTATTTTTTAGCAAATCCTACATTATTAACAAAAGAGTCTGTACATTTGCATGATACACTAGAGAGTGAAACGTGAAAAAGCCCCCCCAAATAAAACCAAAAAACAGAAACCCAGCCTGGGGGTGTGGGACATGCGTGCACACACAGCGCTGACCAAACATTTGGTGGCCGGTATCTTTTAGAGCATTTTCTTTTCACTTCCAAACGTCACTGCCAGCAAAGTCCTGCGGCTTCTACAAAGTTCCTGCTTGCTGTTCTTTGACGGGTGTTATGTTTGATAAATAAAGGGCGGCAGGGAGAGAAGATGAGGAAACCCGGCTGCATCAGCTGCAGAGGGTGTGGGAAGCGAGTGCTGGCCAGAGGGGAGTGTCCTTGAGGAGCCACCTCGCCGGCAGAAAGCGGGAGCCGGGCCCAGGTTAAGTGGGAACGCTTTAGAACTGCGCAGCTTAAGCAAACGCTGGGGTGGGGGGACAGGAGGGACAGACGACCCAAGACCCAGGGCCCGAGAGGAGCCCCTGAAGACGGCTTCCGCAGACTCCCGGGAGCCGCGGGCAGCGGGGCAGCACCGGGCACTGCGCGGAGCACTAGCGTGAGGGCGGCAGCCTTTGGCCCAGGTACAGAAGCAACACCCGGGGTCTGCCAGAGGCCCTCCTCAGCTTTCCCTCCATCCTGCCACGTGGTTCACATTCTTAGCAGGTCTCAAAACACAACTTAAAGAGGCACAGCTAACCGTGTCATGGCGTCGGCTGGGGTGGGGGGAGGGAACCTGCCCTACACGGCCACGGCCAGAACGCAGGACGCTAAGATGGAAGAGAAACGCAGACCGCCACACCCTCTGTCCATCAGAGCGCTCCCTCCCCGTTGGGCGTTGGCTGCGCCCCGCGTGCCCTCAGCGCTGGACACTGCATGGCTCTTTCACTCCTGCTGTTGTGTGTGAGGACGCAAAACAGGCCTTGCTCCTTTACATTCAATGCCAGTAAGATTCTACACAAAAGCTGGAAGGGACCAAATACTGATTGTAATAAATATGTGTGGCCTCCTCGCCCTGACGGCCTACGAGGGGGCGGGAAGGTCTGTGAGAGGCACCGCGGCTGCTCTGCGGCTCGGACACCCGCGCTGCCATTAGCTGTGCGTGGAGACGTCGGAGGAGGAGCTGCTGTTGCTGTTCGTGGTCTGCGCCCTCTTGATGTACAAGTTCAGTAGCTTCATCTGCAGGGAGAGAGGGCTGGATCAGCAGGAGGCAAGGCAGTCGGGAATGGAAAACAGGAAAAAACCGGCACCCTTTCACTGAGGAACTCGTTACACAAACAGTTACCGAGTGTCGATGCCTCATTCCACGCCCGCCAGGGCCAGAGACCCGGAGGAGAGAATGCCAGGGTTACTACAAAGCAGGGCCCCCTGGACACACACACGCAGGACAGATCCCCCACCTCACGGGCGCCTGCAGCCAGCAGCTCCGTCCACGCTGGTGGGAAGCAGGGCAGAGCCCAGGCGCCACAGGGATGAGGTAGCTCAGCCACGTGAGAGGCCGTCACACCTCCTCCCCCCACTTCAGCCACTGAGCCCACGCAGCACTGCGCGTCGCAGACCCGCCGGGCCGCCTCCACTCGGCCGTCTCCCAGCAGCTCACCTGGAGGCAGTCCTCCGTGGCACTTTATCCCGTGGCACATGCCGCCTCCTCGCAGCTTCCAGCAAACAGGCCTCCCTGACACCAGACACCCCATCACACAGCAGCAGCCCCTCCCACGGGCTGCTCTCCAAGGGCCCCGGGAGAGGTGCTGGGTGAGCGGTGTGGTGCGCGAGAGGAAGGGCCCTCTGACGACCAGGAGGAAGAGGCACAGTAGCCACAGAGCTCCCAGCAGGGGCGCCACCTCCCCGCCCGGCCCGCCCCAGGTGCTTTCCGCCACACGCACTCGAGGAGGTGTGAAACCCGTGTGGTGGGCTCTCCACACAGGGCGTCTGGGCGGGCATCCTGGAGCTGCCTTTGCCCACGCCCACGCCTGCCTTGCTATCCTCTTTTCCCCGGCAGCGGCTAGGCCAATGGTTCTCAACCTTGGCTGCACATTAGAATCACCTGGGAATCTTTTTAAAATCCTGATTCCTGGGCCTCATCCTCCAGAAATTCTGTTTCTTTGTTATGAGGTGGGGCCACAACATTAGTAACAAAGAAACAGAATTTCCGGAGGATGAGGCCCAGAAATCAGGATTTTAAAAAGATTCCCAGGTGATTCTAATGTGCAGCCAAGGTTGAGAACCACTGGGCTAGACCATGGTAACTTACACTCCCTACCAGTTTGTTTTTCATTCCCCACCTTTTAAATGTAGAAACGTTTAATATGATGTCGTGCTACGATGAAAGCGCCATCTGAAGGCTCTGAGGCTCAGTATGACACCTCTGGGCCAACCAGGACCCAGGGAAACCCTGGCCTGAGGCTCGAGAACCAGCTTCACACTAACTAGTTACGTGACCGCAGACAAAACACTTCCTGAGCCTCAACTTCCCGCCTGCAAAATGAAGAGCAGTAACATCCCCAAGTGCCCTCTGTGGCTCCTTGTTCCGAAAATGTGTCCTCTGAACGCCCCTCCCCGATGGCTCACACTGTTCCTTCCTGCTGTTTGCTCCTTCTTCCCTCCTAAGCAGCTCACCCCGCCCTGCCCTGCCCAGCCCAGCCCAGTTTGGTCCCTTTCCTCCTGCTCCCATGGCCTAGAACAGTGATTCCCAAAGTGGGCGCTACCGCCCCCTGGTGGGCGCTGCAGCGATCCAGGAGGGCGGTGATGGCCACAGGTGCATTTGTTTTAACTTTTTTTGTATTACCTTTCTATTCTGAGTTCAATAAATAGTTTCATAATTTCAAACTTCAATGTTTCTAATTTACACCTTTCTTTACTATATTTTACGAAAAAGGTAGAAACATTAATACATATATCTTTGTTTAATTGCTATTAAAATTTAAAAAAAATTAATTTCCAGGGGGCGCTGAGTAATATTTTTTTCTGGAAAGGGGGCAGTAGGCCAAATAAGTTTGGGAACCACTGGCCTAGAACCTAGAATCAGAGCCTGTCCCACAGCGTTCACTACACGCCGCTCACTCCTGGGCTGCTATGGAGGTTCCCTGTGGTCCAGCCTGTGCCCCAGCTCTTCAGGGCAGAGTGAGCTGTGCTTTTCCCACATGCCTTGGCCTAGTGTAGTGAAGAAAGCAGGTTCCTAACACATACCTGCTGAATGGAAGAGTTTTTAAAAAACAAAAATTATCTAGAAGATATTTCTATGTAAGGCCAGTTAACAATGAGTTACTGTTAGACTTCTTTGCAACTCAGACCACTAATGTATCCACCCAGTCAAGTCTAGAATACAACTGTAAGTCCAAGGGAAAGACAACAATAGAGTTAATGATGTGCACATGTTTAACAATCTACAAGGAGCTTTGATGCCTTATAAAAATCCTTCGAGGTAGATAGAACAGGGTCTCCTGTTTTACAAATAAAAAGCCAGGGTTCAGAAAGCTTGCTCATTAGCTGGTATAAATTCAAATGGGACTATTGTAACTTCAGAATGTCAAATGCAATCCCCATGGTAAGCACAATGAAAACAGCTATAGAATACACACAGAAGGAAACAGGAATTAAAATATTTCAGTACAAAAAGCAAACAAACACAAAAGACAGTAATGCAGAAAAGGAGGGAAGTAAAAGCGTTATGGTATATAGAAAACAAATACCAAATGCTAGAAGTCTCTCCTCCTTTATCAGTAGTTACTGTAAATATAAATGGAATAAACTCTCCAGTCAAAGGACAGAGATTGGTAGAGTGGACAGAAGAACATGATTCAACTATATCCTATCCACAAAAAAATTCACATTAGATCCAAAGAATAAATAGGTTGAAAGTGAAAGGATGGAAAAGATATTCCATGCAAACAGTAACCAAGAGCACAGGGTAGCTACACTAATATCAGATAAAATAGACTTTAAGTCAAAAAAGGTTACAAGAGACAAAGAAGGAAATTATATATTAACAAAAGATCAATACTGCAAAAACATAACAATTATAAACATTTATGCATCTAATAACGTAATATCAAATATATAAAGTAAAACTGACAGACCTGAAGGGAGAAACAGTTTTACAACAATAGTTTGAGACTTCAATAACCTATTCTTAATAATGGAAAGAACTCAAAAAAAGAAAATTAAAAAAAGGCCCAAACAACACAATAAGCCAACTAGATCTAACAAGCACACAGAGCATTCTACCAAACAACAGAATACACACTCTTTTCAAATGCACATGGAGCATTCTCCAGGATAGACTATATGTTAAGAAACAAATTAGATCCCAAGAGATTTTTTTTTTTGAGAGAAAACATTGACTTGTTGTCCCATTTATTTATGCATTCATTGGTTAATTCTTGTATGTACCCTGACTGGAGACTGAACTCACAACCTTGGTATATCGGGACAATACACTAACCAACTGAGCTGCTGGGCCAGGGCCTCAACAGATTTTAAAAGATAAATATCATTCAAAGTATCGTCTCTAGTCACAATGAATGAAGCTAGAAATCAATAACAAAAAGAAAACTATAAGAAAAAAATCCCTAAATCTGTAGAAATTGAACACACTTTTAAACCACCAATGGGTCAAAGAAGAAATCACAAAGGAAATTAGAAAATACCTTGAAACAAATGAAATGAAAACACAACATACCAAAACTTATGAGATGCACTGAAAGCAGCGCAAAGAGGGATATTTACAACAGTAAATGCTTATATTAAAAAAGAAAGATCCCTTAACATTAACATAATTTTACATTTTAAGGAACTAGAAAAAGAATAAACTATACCCCAAGCTAGTAGAATGAAGGAAATACTAAAGATTAGAGCAGAGATAAATGAAACAAAAACAGAGACATATCAATGAAACCAAAAGTTGATTCATTCAACAACAAAAAAACAACAAAACTGACAAACCTTTAGCTAAGCTGACTTAAAAAAAAGACTCAAATTACTAAAGAAATCAAAAATATTACAAGAGAATACTATAAACAATAGTACACCAACAAATTAAGATAACTAGATGAAATGGATAATTTCCTAGAAACACAAAACCTACCAAGACAGAATCATGAAGAGAAAGACTAAACAGGCCTATAAGAATCATGAAGAGAAAGACTAAACAGGCCTATAATTTGTAAGGACACTAAAGTGTAATAAGAAATCTCCTGACAAAGAAAAGATCAGATGGCTTTACTTCAAATGTTCTACAAATGTTCTACAAAAACATTTAGAGAACTAATACAATCCTTCTCAAGTATTTCCAGAAAACTAAAGAGAAAAGAACACTTTCAAACTCATGCTATGAAGTTAACATTTGTCCTGATACCAAAGCCAGATAAAGACATTACAAGAATACTATAGATCCCTTATGAACAGTTATGAACACTGACGCAAAAATCTTCAAGAAAAGGCTAACAAACAGTATTTGATAGCATATTAAAAAGGTTATATAACATAACTGAGGATAAATTCCTGAAATGCAAGAATAGTTCAACATATGAAAATTGATCAATATTACATACACATCATGTTAACAGAATGAAGGGGAAAAAAACAACCCCACAGTTATCTCAATTGATGCAGAAAAAAATTTGACAGAATTCAATACATTTTCATGATGAAAATACTCAACAAACTAGGAATAGAAGGAAACTACCTCAACATATCCAAAGCTGTATATGAAAAGCCCACAGCGAAAATTATGCTCAATGGTAAAGACAAAGCCTTTTTTCTAATATTACAAACAAGGCAAGGATGCCTGCTTTTACCAATTCTACTCAATATAGAACTATAAGTTCCAGCCAGAGCAATTAGGCAGGAAAATAAATGAAAGGCATCTACATTATAAAGGAAAAATAAAATTATCTTTGTTTACAGATGATTTTATATGTAGAAAATCCATAAGATTCTACAAAAAAAGTTAAGAGTAATAAATTCAGCAATGTAGCAGGATACAAAACCAATGACCAAAAACCAGTTGCATTTCTTTACACTAACAATGAAGAGAAAATTAAGAAAACAACTCCATTTCTAAAAACATCTACAATAATAAAATACAAACATGCAAATTGACCGTACCTTTGCTACGCCTTAAGCCACGCCCACCAGCCGATCAGAGCGGCTATATGCAAATTAACCCAACCAAGATGGCG